GCATACCAACTTATTTAAACTTATATCAATCACTCTTGTTGGCCCGGATGTTAGAAAGTTTTTAATGACAATCCTTAGTACACTAAAGCGCACACTAGAAACAAAATGGTACCGTATATATATAGACCTACGTGACGTATAGGTGTTACTGTTTGTCTAGGGCGGAGACCCACATAACTGTATGATATCTCAGGTCTGACGCCCAAGCGTATGTACATTATTCATTAATTCATTGTACAAGAAAATGTAAATTAGTTTTGAAATTCTAATTTCATCAAGGTCGTTAATCATAATTAATCTTCCCGACAGCTCCTACGCTGACCTCCAAAAACTTCTCTGCAGTATTTATTGTAGGGCACAGCAGAAATCTACCAGGTTGTCAAAGATTTGTCAACTTGAAATGTAATTTTACAGAACCTTATCCGCTGAGCTTTGATGGCTTTCAACACTTTAAATAAATATAAATTTTACAAAGAAAAAAAACTCAAACACTAATGCTGAAGATATTTTCATGTGATTTTAAATAGAAACATCGGTATGTCAACCAGATAGCGCCCCGTGTATGCCGGTCTGATAGAAAGCCGCGTGTGATGGTACACGTGGTAGCTTACACGTGTTAATGGTATATAAGATGCTGGAAGTCATTTATTTAATAGCTTATCGGTGATAGACTGATAAAAGGAGGGTGATCTGATTTGCGTCCCGTTTTGTAATTAAAATGTTTACTCTTACATTTAAACCTTCAAACTTAAAAAAACAAACGTTAATCGTCAAAAAATCATTTTACTGTCATACAAAAGTCTATTGTTATAAGTTTTTAATGTATAAACATAAAAACAGTTTCCTCTTAATGTCATGACATATATCAATAAATGTAACACCTCCTTTCAGTAAGTTGGTTACGGAAAGCAATTAACTGTTTTTAATGACATTTGTAAAGTACAACCTACAAAAACGAAATAAATTTAACGTCTTTTTTAAAATTGAAATTACAATTAAAAACGGCTGACGACTAAGACGAAAGTGGCGTTAGTACGACCTCCTTTATCACTGACAAGTTTTCAAAAATGTTTTAAGACAACCGGGATGTAAGTGCGGCACCTTGTCTTACCAACATTTCTTTGTAAATATATATCGTAACAGTGCCGATTAAAATTTAGTATAATTATTGAGGTAGATGTATTTAGATTACTGAAAATAACGTGTCCAGTAAGATTGTCGAGGTATAAATGCGTTATCCTGTCTTACTGACCTTGATGAAAAATGATTTAAACATATTTTATTTGTATCAAAATATATACATTGGGATTGGGCAAGTTTTCTAACTTATAACTGTTGACAAATGTTTTAAGATGTGCGGTAAACGAGGTGTCGGGTAATTGTACGAAATATTCTCTAACTGAAAAGTATTTTAAGATATTGGTAGGAGGGTATCGAGGAACACAGCTGGGATGCAAGTACAGCACCTAATCTCACCAACAGATAATGTTTAATGGTCGATCGACATAAAACACTGGATAGTTATAATTGGTTTAAAACTTAATGACTACAAATATATGTATATCTTATAACAACATGATGCACGTGATTGGGGAGAATTATGAAGAATTGAGATACTGAAGAAACTGCTATTAATTCTCAAATAATGAATGATTACAGTGCTAGATAAGGTATTATTACGCTCTAGGCTGGGAGATTGGTGTATGTGTCGTCTCAATTCAACTATATACACTATCTTATACAAAAATGCAGAGCTGATTGGACGAGCCAGTTTGTCATGTTCTGACTAGAATCTAGATTTACATCATTATTCTTTTACAAAGTTAATCTATGCCACTTCAGACAATATGAAAAACTACATCGGGAATATCCACCCATCACAAAGGCATTTACAGAGTCTGATATACTGTAGCGTCTGTGCGTACCTTGAGGGTTGGACAGAGAAATTTCCCCAGAGAGGAGATTCTTGACTGCCTTACCCGTGGCTGCTTTAGAAAACTAAAGCATTTTCTCTCTCCCATTTTCCATAAAACCAAATTAGTACACACAAATACACATTAATTCAATGACGATTTTTGACGGTACTGTAAATAATTACACAATGACAGAACTAGTGCCATTTACATTTTTTTCCATATCAAAGATTATTTTTTTTTTCAATCAATAACACTTTCGTTGGCATATTAACTACTAAGTACTAACTGTCAACGTGTAACTTCCGATTTAGCACGCACAAAAGTATGGTGCTGGTCAAATCTTCCCCTGACCGGAAGTGTGGATATCTCTGCCCAATGAGGGAGAACATATATCTGCCGAATACACAGAGCACCCACTAGTACTCAGGCCAACACAGCTTCTACCAAACAGGAAATGACGTGCCCAGATTATAGATAATTACCACAAAGTAGCTAAACTTTGACAGAAACTACCCGAAGTGACGTATTGGTATAATGGGAACCAGCGCCTACAATATAAAAACACGAACAACATGACGGAAATGAACTTATGTAAACACCACAAACTACTTACCCCGGTCCGTCTGAAGCCTGGTGAAGGCGACTGACTTTGGGCTCCTGGTAGTAAGGTTCCTCCTCTTGTCTGAGGAGGGGCCCCATCCCCGCTCCCTTGTATTTCTCTGCCACCTCTTCCCCACCATACGACACTCTGGGGGCAGGTTGTTGGTCCGGTGTGAGGGTGCCATAATGGTTTATTAAAGTCTCCATTTTACCGTTGTGATTCCGTTCAGCATATTCCTCTGCGTAATCACCTTTGACCTTTGGAGGTGGTTTAGAATCAACTTCTAAATTACCATAGTTTTCTATTAAGTTTCTCATGGCACCTCCCCTGTTATTTTGGGCGGTTTCCGCTGAGTCACCCGTTACACCTCGGGGGTGAACCTTTCTTTCCATTGGGGGGTCGGCGTATCCCCCGAGGAGTTCGCCCATACAACCCTTATTTGTGGTGGCGTTCCGTCGGGCGTCGTCCGAGCGTAGCCGTTCCATGGGCCTTGGTGATTCGTAGCTCGTATTCTGTGAATGGTCAAACCATTTGTCCATACCTCCACGATTTCTGTTGGCGTATTCCTCTGCCTCTGGTTTGACCCGGGGGTGGGGTTTTGGAGTGGGGCTGGGGGTATAAACCCCGTCTACTGTCGTCATGATGATAAGGGGGAGGTCTTAGTTAGGTAGAAATTGTCCTCTTGTCATTTGCTGTTACCTGCAAGTAAACAAACGTTAAAACATGAAATCACAACAATACAAACATATGTTCTATCAAACACTGTTGTGTGGCCTTGTAAGTTAGTGTAAATCTTTCAGGCGTATAAATTGAAACGTATATGACTGTCAATCTTCAAACTTGACCGGTCAACACACATTTTACCATCATATGAGTACTATCATTCTGTACAAAATGTGCTTACACACGAGTCAAAAACAAAGAGATTCAAACTAGAAGAAGATAGTTATAATCATGATATAGGACCTATGATATAGTTAGTGAACATGATATAGGACCTATGATATAGTGAACATGATATAGGACCTATGACATAGTGAACATGATATAGTTCCTATATCATGTTCACTATGTCACAGGTCCTATATCATGTTCACTATGTCATCGGTCCTATCTCATGTTCACTATGTCATAGGTCCTATATAATGTTCACTATGTCATAGGTCCTATATCATGTTCGCTATGTCATAGGTCCTATATCATGTTGACTATATCATAGGTCCTATATCATGATTATAACTAGAAGAAGATAGTTATAATCATGATATAGGACCTATGATATAGTGAACATGATATAGGCCCTATGACATAGTGAACATGATATAGGACCTATGACATAGTGAACATGATATAGGACCTATGACATATCAGAATTATTATTCACGTGTAAGACAGGTCATGAAATTAATACTTTGACATAACGTCGTCGCTTCATTTTAACGACACCAATCAAATCTCTATTTGTAAACTTTAGTCTCAGTGTAATGGAACGTTCACGAACATTTTACGTAATGTAAACGATACGCTAGGGCGAATATACATGCTCCACAGAACTAGGACTCTATAAACCTTCTGACATGCTTTAGATCGTAACGAGGACGACATTTTCAGGCTTAATCAGCCTATCGTTATGTGTACAGTACGCTTACTTTACCTTTATAAACAGCATACTCATGATTCATGTAATTTCAATTTGTTAATATGTAATCGATACGGCTTATGAGATATGATAAATAGCTTTGTTCTGATTGGACCTCGGTCATAATGACATAGGGCAATTATTACTTTCTATCAGCATGCTAGCAATAAGGAACTTAAAATGAACGATACAAACATTAAGTGGTTCCAATGAAACTCCAATCAAACTCTAAAATCCAAATCAAGCGTCCACTAACAGTCGAAGTCAAACTCAGGCACAACAACTTTACAGTTTATGACCTGGGTATTGGTGTACATGTACGTATAGTGCGGGATGACAGGGCCGTTCGGCCCATTTGTTTACATTACTCGCCGGTAGAAGGTTGAGCCATTTTCCAGACTGGTATCAAATACCTTCGTACACATGCGGTAAGTAATTGTATACTATAAGTTGTACATAATTAGTAACCCCAGTTACATAACGACCCCCTACCTACTTATAGACTCTCCTACGCAGCCCGGCTCTCCAAAATTAAAGCTAACGTTGTCTGAATACAAACGATGACTGTCTACTTCATAATCCAGGACTCGACAGAGCGAGATGTCGTGTACAAAACCCTTAATACGGAGCATCAGGTATCCCGGTGGGTAACCAGGTACCCAGCTAGCCATTACAGAGCGGAATGACGTCATTTTTACCTGTACAGGTATATAGAGAGTGCCCAGGTGTTTGGAGACTGTAACATACTTCACGTCAGATACTCTTTCCCACGCTAAAACCTCCCTTTATCAAAACAGATACATCTTTATTGGACTTTGAAACGCTAGTTCACACATCATTTGGACAAAACGAAATCTAGAAACAACTTTAGTCTGACCGTTTCTAATGGTCACTGAAGTAAATTTGAACCCATAGTACATTTAGTACCTTGTTTATCCTTGATATGGTGTACCTGTATCGCAAACTAATTACACTGTAAAGCAGGGTATTAACTCTAAAAGCAAAAACGTTAGAATGGAGAAAGTATCATAAAATTCGTGATGCTATAAAACGAACATGCTAAATACCACCTAGCTCTCCTGATAATAAGCCCAGCGTTTTACTTTTAACTTACAAATAATTGAAAAACGTTACTGTGCGAAACGTGCAATGCATTATATTAAAAATGACGCCGAAGAAGATGCAAGTGAATTAATTTTAAGAGTATGTTAACTGAGATAACATCATCTACAAGTGAGTTAAACGGAAATAGATCTAGCCTTATATTTCGGAACTAAGGCTCTAACGTATTCAATTATTTGACTATGTTGTGCCAGAAGTATAGTGTTTTATACAATTGTATTTCGTCAGTCATTCCCGACCAGTGTGTTGATCTTTAATTGTCATAGGTTGTAAAACTTCAGCAAATAGAAAAACGAAACGAAACGAAAAGAAACGAAACAAAACAAACCGACTCTATAGGTCGTGAAGCCATTGGTTTAATCCGACCACAATTATCTATATGTAATGTCTGTTCTTACATTGTAACACAGACCAGCACTTATCTTCATAACTTAAGTACACCGAATTGAAAATGAGCCATTAATTACTATTTCCTCGGGCGGCAGCGGCTAATGTTTGTATCTGGGTTTCGGCTTTGACCTTCATTACGGCTGGACCGTGCCCATTTGACCTTTGCGAGCGCCGAGCAGTTCACATGCTCATATGTTTTCTATATATTTCTACACTAAACCTAAAAGACTGAGAAATCAACCGCTATTTAAATTGTTTCTGACAAGGTCAACAGACAAGAACTAATAGACGACAGCTGATAGCATCTTATTTCAACAGACAAGCAACTCAATACCGCCAGTATTTGTACTGAGTTGTTGACGGTGCCTGGAACACTTCAGTCACGTTGTATTGTAATTGTTCTATACATTATTTCAAGGGAGACAAGGAATTTCTCAGGTTTAAATGTTTTGAAGGTGTACGAATTCGTGTAAAAACATGACCCTTTACTCTAGGTATCGCGTCTTAATGTAATAAATGCATTCTTAAATTCCGGCACGAGTTGAAGTTGACGAAACGTTTTTATGAAAAACAGATATATGCGAAACGCGAGGGACGAAATCAGACACACTATTATCTAACAATGTTGAGGTTCTTGATCCCCAAAAATGGTTACAGGAAAAACGTATCGTCTTTAAGGCGGTATGCTACCTTACTGTGATGTGTGGTTACAGGAAAACATACTGTTTTTGAGGCTGTATGCTACCTTACTGGGACGTGGTTACAGGAAAATGTATTGCCTTTAGGGCTGTATGCTACCTTACTGGGACGTGCGGTTACAGGAAAATGTATTGTCTTTAAGGCTGTATGCTACCTTACTGGGACGTGTGGTTCCAGGAACACTTATTCTTTAAGGTTGGCTACTAGTACTTAAATATTTCAAGGGATATAACTCTGTCAAAAGCTGTAGGTATAGTGAGCAATGTAGCATAGGTACACAATACATGGTCAAGTAATTTGATTCAGTTAATTTCATTTTTACAGGGGAAAATATTTACATACACATTCATTGCATTGAATAAGATCCGGAACCAAGTATTAAGATATAAATGTCCACTTCGTTGTTCGGTTAAAACAATATTTGGTTTAACATAGCCCATTCAGCATTCAATTTAAATAGTAAATCAAACAGGAACTTTTCATTTGTAAATATTCGTACTAGATTTATGACGGTGTTACCAGGTATATATCATAAATGAAAACCCCTACTATTTTGTTTGAACGTGGTCCATGCCATACACCCCGGTTAGTCTACTTCAGGATATGGGTTGACCAGTGTTAATTGAAATTTGGCGGTCACGCATTTGAAGTATACGGACTATAAACTAAGGTACAGGGCTCGATAATTGATACCCCGTATCACAGCACTTGTACAACATCCTAAACTGACTCATCTCTTCATTGCAATCACGAAGGCGTGGCAGAGGAGCCATTACATTGTGTTTGACCTATTTCTCGCGAAACACTAACAATATCGTAAAACGTTAGGCCTACTTAGTTCCTTACTATATACAGTTCATGTATAAATACCATGTTTTCAACATAGTGAGTACATAATAATTAATGTAGCAAAATCAATAGCCAACATAAAGAAAATACAATGCGGTAACAATGTATGCTTCAATGGAGCGAATACAACAGAAATAAAATGTAGTCACAACAGAGTAACTTCGTTCCGTACAACGTTTCCAATATATACCTCAGTGGGTCTCCTATATGGACTGTTGCGATTTTTTGGTACTTTTTCTGTTGTATCAATTTATCATAATGAAAACAAGAGGCCCAATGGGCCTACATCGCTCACCTGGTATAAATCTCACACTTGTAACCTTAAAAGTGATCTAAAATAAAGCTACAGGCAAAATATCAGTATTTATGATTAAAATTCATTCAAAAGACCCTGTTAATTTTTTTTCAAACATTTCACCCCTGTGATTGAAAGTCGAACAAATTTTATAGCCTTTCATCTCAGGATGCAATTTGTAAAGTATCAACATCCTGGGACCCATGGTTATTCAGAAGAGGTCGTTTAAAGATTTTAAACAAATTTGACCCCTGTGACCTTGAATATAAGTCAAAGTCATTCACTTTAACAAACATAGTAGTCCTTGATCCCAGCATGCTACTGACTAAATATCAACATCCTGAGCCTTTTGGTTATTCAGAACAAATTGTTTAAATATTTTGAACATATTTGCTCCTTGTGACCTTGAATATGATTCAAGGTCATACATTTAAACAAACTTGGTAGCCCTTGATCCTAGTATGCTACTGACTAAATATCATCACCCTGGGCATTTTGGTTATTGAGAAGAAGTTGTTTAAAATTTTTAACATATTTGACCCCTGTGACCTTGAATATGGGTGAAGGTCATTCATTTGAACAAACTTTGTAGCCCTTCATCTCAGCATGCTACTGGCCAAAGATCACCACCTTGGGCATTTTGGTTATTGAGAAGAAGTTGTTTAAAGGTTTTTAAAGACAACTGACCCCTGTGACCTTGAATAT